GAACCATGTAACCTATAGGGTTAAACACCACTTACAAATATAACACATTGTTACAAGCGTAAATATATCTAGACATATTACTGAATCATGTAACCTATAGGGTTAAACACCACTTACAAATATAACACATTGTTACAAGTGTAAATATATCTAGACATATTACTGAATCGTGTAACCTATAGGGTTAAACACCACTTACAAATATAACACATTGTTACAAGTGTAAATATATCTAGACATATTACTGAACCATGTATTAGGCTTAGAAAAACTGACAACTAATGTCAGAGTAAACTAAAATAATCCCAAAATGAATATATACATTTAACTCTCCTGTACAACATATAAAAAACAAACTTGTTTTTATTAAATAAATTTTAAGTGTGAAGTATTTAACAAAAAAAATGTTAAGATATATTTTAAATCAATGGTGCAATTTTGCATACGGCTATGGGTGCACCCAGCCAAGTACCAAATGGTTAAACATGAATGGAACACTTATATTTATAAGAATCAAACTTACTAACGATATATTTTGAGTTAAAAACCTACTAGCAACGATAAAAGTGCTACATCTACAATGAAATCAATCCCTCTTGAATAACATAACGTTTTAAGTAACTTACGGATTTGGTTAGAAATTATTCAAGGGTCAATCAAACCCAGCAACCCATTATTCAAGGGTCAATCAAACCCCTATGGTTTTTACAATTACTGAACACCGTAAAAACTGCTTTCTAGACTAAAAGGATATTTAAATATCCTTTTCAGCTGATCATCTACATCACTGCCTGGAAACAATGGTCTTCCAGCATTGGCAAGTTCTGTAAAATGTAATCACATTATTCCAGAAGTAATAAATTTTACTAAATGTCTAGTTATTTACACTAAAGACATCTTTGAATGATCAAAAAAAAACATTCCTCAATACAATCGTTAAAAACTGATCATTCTATTGAGGAATGTTGTTTTTGATCTACAAGTTTTTAACGATCATTGTATTGAGGAATGTTGTTTTTGATCAAGTTTTTAACGATCATTGTATTGAGGAATGTTGTTTTTGATCAAGTTTTTAACGATTGTATTGAGGAATGTTGTTTTTGATCAAGTTTTTTTTTTTATATTTAACATATTTTTACCAATATACAGTGATATTTTAGAACATTAACTTGAACTAAACAGGTAGAAATGATATTTTTTATTATCCTATTTGGAAAACAATTGTTTAGAAATATTTTAATATTTAATTCCTTACAAAAATATTCATACGTGCAAACTATTTTGTAAGAACGATGAAACAGTCTCTGTAATCCAACTGTTAAACAGTTTCTGTACGGTCAAGTTTCAAGCAGTCATTTTGTGTTTTGTAATCCAGAGCATGTCACTATCCAATTTGTAAAAAAAAAATCTGATTTAACATATTACACAGTGACACTTTTTCAATTTAAAACTGCAAACTTAAACTGTAATTTTAAGACAAATACTGAACAAATACATAAAATACTCAAAGGTAATGCCATTCAAAGTAACAAAAGGCCCAGAAATCAGTCTTATATAAAACCTTGTTGCACTATCAGAACCTTTAACTACAAAGTGTAGAAAATTTAAATCCTATAAACGTGTATGTCACATGTTTTATCTTATAGTTTAGTAGCAGTAGATTGAATAAGCTCGCATCTTCCACTAGCTACATTATACCATAAAACATAGTAAATATATACACAGTCTGTAACTTACCAGCAAATATACAACCTGCTGACCACATGTCAATTGAAGTAGTATAGAGTTTGGCCCCAAAAAGCACATCAGGTGGTCGGTACCATAATGTAACTACCTTAAAAATAAACAGATCATATGTATCATAGAGAAACAAAACAACAGTAGTTGATTACATTATATTAATACAACTTTGGAAACTCACCACGTTCAGTAATGCTCTAGCTGATGACTATGTATCTTGACAATAAATAACCCAGCAGCATAGTTTCCATTCCAAAAGTCTCCTCTGTAAGATTGTCATGCTCAAAGCACATTAATCCTCCATGCCAGCTTTCCATAATACATCTATTTTACAAGGACAATTTTCCCAGCAACCTTTTTAAAAGCCCAGCATAAAGAAATCCATAAGTGCTGTATTCGGTGAATTGACAGGTACTATCTTTGATGACCAGTTTCATTCTTCAGCTGCTTAAAGTATACAAGAGTGAATGGATATATCGTGGAAGCAGCTTGTGTCAATTTTGTATTATGGTGTCTCCTGCACACAGATGATTTTTATCACTGATCTCTGTATTTGTAGATTCTTACCTAATACAAGGCATCACACTTTGTTTACTACAGCTGAGGTATGACTTGTCTCAGGTCTTCTTCTGGCTTGTCCTGGTACCCCAGGTTAATCCTTATTCCTTTTTTCCAACACTATTAAGTACCAGGGATATTTCCCATCTAAGAAATACTAAATCCCTAATTTGAACACATCTTTACAAACTGAATTTATGAATATTTTGCCTTAGAAAGTGATTTATTTTAAGTGGTATTGCTCTACCCAACAAACATTTCAAACAAGATGAAAAAATGTAGTTCTGATACATGCCATTACACAATGACTTCATATTGGCTGTGGTTGTCACAACTTAATGATATGTATATTCAAAATCATTTTAGTATAAAATACTCAACCTCTGTATAACTTCTTAAACTTTTTTCCTCGATCTTAGATGCCATATTTTTCAAAAAAACATAAGTTTTAACTTGCTCAATCTTAAAACCACATAAACGTCAGATGAGGAAAAATTTAAAACTTCCTGGGCTTTATAATGTTTTAATATAGTAATAAAAACTGAAATCCAACTACACCACAGTAAAGTTTTGAAAAATAAATTACTACAACCCTGCTGATAAAATAAAATATTAAAATTTGTATCTTTACTGTGACAATTGCTATTATAGTCACGTAAGACATACCTTTTTTTAACAAGAAAACTGAAAGATCTGTCCACATTAAGTTTTCTTTTGTAACATTATTGTTATGTGTAGTCTGTTATTATATATCAGTTGTTACAGTTTGGAAGGTTATACATCATTGTTATTGTGGCAGTGTACTAAGTTGTATCATCTTTTTACAACAAAACAGATGTTTCTGCACTTTACGTATACTTTCTTTCATTCTCATTGTGAACTGACGTGCTGTTTATTTCTTAGACTAAACATTTGTTTACATGTATTGTGTTACATACAAAAACATTCTAAGCCTAATGGTCAACCTACCTCTGCCGAGTAGCACCTAACTGGAATTCCAAAAGCTCTAGCTAGTCCAAAATCTGCCAATTTCAGCTCTCCATTCTACAAAATGATGCACTTAGTATGTGCAAACATTAGTTTGTATTGAATTGTGCTACTGTGTAATATATGCACTTAGTATGTGCAAACATTAGTTTGTATTGAATTGTGCTACTGTGTAATATGATGCACTTAGTATGTGCAAACATTAGTTTGTATTGAAGTGTACTGCTGTTTAATATGATGCACTTAGTATACAAGGTTTGCTTAACATATGTTACTAGCTGTATCACACAAGCTTCAGTCATATTTGTTACCAGCTGTACTACACAAGCTTCAGTCAATATTTGTACGTGTAAACATTAGTTTGTATTGAATTGTGCTACTGTGTAATAATGATACAGCTAGTAACACATGTTAAGCAAACCTTGTGTGATACAGCTAGTAACACATGTTAAGCAAACCTTGTGTGATACAGCTAGTAACACATGTTAAGCAAACCTTGTGTGATACAGCTAGTAACATATTGACCAAATTAAAATCTAAGTACAAACTATAGAAACATAAAATCCACACTGTTCTGTTTTTTAATAAATAAATAAAAATTGGTCTAGAGTAGAAACGTACGAAAGTGTCATTGTATATGAGGCACATAACACACAATGTTTCAAATTCAGACAGCTGTCGTTATAAACAACAATATTCATGTTTTAGTAAAATACTCAACTTTCATTGACAGCAGTCGCACTAAGTTGAACTCTGGAAACCTTAATACTTACAACCAAATATGATTACAATTTCATATTTCAAGCTTTCCGTTACATCAAAATAACTAAAATGATGAGGAAAACGAATATTACAAAAACTGTTAGAAAAACCTTCGTGCTGTGACAAGCAGTTTGCAAGTTAAAAACCTACATTTCTTAGGCTAATCGTGGGTGATTCTGCAGAAAAGGTTGAAATTTAACCTAGTGTTTTTACTTCTTACACATCAGATTGGCCAATGAAAACATTTTTATGTATGAAACAAATGGAGCTAACCTAGGTAGCATACTTTTAACAAAAAGTTTGTGATGGTGTTTTAGTGCATCAGTAGTGGAATTTTATAACTAATTAATCATCACATTCATCAATCAACTAATTATTCTAATGAGACTTGAATAGTTATAATAATTACAAATAGTAATAACTGGAAGAACTAATCGATGATTTTTGTGAATCATGACATTTACAGATCTTGAATAAACAGTAACAATAGGAAAAAAGTATTTTGATTAGTTTCACGACATAAATGATGCTAATCTACGTAATTGGTTATCATAGGTAATCAAGAGCAGCCGTGCTAGAAAGTAAATCCCGATCTAATAATACAAAGTCAGACTTTCCTCTGTAAGTACCGTTTTTTTTGGTTTATAAGTTGCACTTTTTTACCCCAAAATTTGATGTCAAAACCTGCTTGCGTCCTATACACCGAAGGTATGAATAATATATATGTATATATACGATATACACAGGCCATGTGTAAATGTATTTAAATAGGCATGCATAGTTTAGTTCAATTGAATGTGTTATTTAAAACAATAAAAAACATAACTATTTATAATGCTCCC